GGTGGTGTGTGTGTGTGTGTGTGTGTGTGTGTGTGTGTGTGTGTGTGGAGGGAGGGTAGGAGGCAGATAGACTGTGTTTTGGGGGGCAGAGAGTGTGTCAGCATGCTGTCTTGTAAGTTCAAACAGAAACAGTACTTTGAAAGGGGAGGGGCGCATGTCTCCAGGGCATCCGAGTTCAAAACAATGAGCAGAACGGTCACTTGAGGCATTATGGGACAGTTCAGGAGGCCAGTTACTGCATAGAAAGCAATCTAGTGTTTACACTGGCAATTGAGCGCTGGAGCCTCTGCGCAAATAGCCTTATGACCCTCGTCAAGGGGGTTTTTTGCAGCACTGCAACTGAGGAGTTTCTGCACGAAAAGTGGCTTGGCAGTGTGTACACATCTGCAGTTTGAGCGCAAAAAGCTGCTTTACTGCACAGAAACTTGCCAGTGTAGACAAGCGCTTAGTCTCCCCGGGTCCTGAGGCTGGCTGGGGCCCAAATGAGGTTGCTCTAACCTACAACAGCTGAAACAAACCTTACCAAAAAAAAATTCTGAAATATACTTAAAATTAGTGGCTTCTTCAATCAATTTTTTAACAAGTATATTTATTTTTTCTGTTACAAGCAATGTAGAGTTAATATATGTAAACATCCTATGATATATGATTTTTATGCAACACATTAAAGCAAATTATCTGCATGTTTACTAGGCTATTGTATAGCGTGAAAGGTGTTATTTCTAACATGGAAGTTATTTCCATTTAAGGTGCTGTGTCATGGGATGTTACATCGCAGAGGATTATTTTCTCGAAAAAGAGGGCATTTTTCTCCTTCTGGATTTGTTGGCAGTAGGTATTATTATTAGAGAATAACACTAGTACTAAAACATAGAAAAATAGCAAATTTTTCCTTTTTGTTACTGTTCCTCCTGAGAGTATCACATCGGTGTACCCCAGAACAGTTAATTCACTCATTGTTAAGTACCTACACTCCAGGGTACATGCATATATCATACAAGTGTCTCCTTTTATCTTTGTTTTTTTTTTAAATATTTGTCGGTGTTAATTTCACTAAAATTTATATTTTAATGGATTCTTCTATTTATAGGCTATTCACTTAGGTCCTGATTCAGGAAAGCATTTAAGCACATGCTTAAGTCTCATTGAAATCAATAGGGATACACTTAAGCATGCCCTTAAGTGTCTTGATGAATTAGGGACTTAAAAGGTACTTTATAGACACATGGCCAGCATTTTACTACTAGCAACCTAATGTACTCATACAAAACTTGTGGGCCTTCCACATGCAAGTGCATGTGGAAGTTTTGTGAAAGTAATTTTGGTGACTAGTTTTGAACAGTTTGGTCCATAGGATTTCTCTGTTTTGGCTATGAAGATGGAATTTCTTTGTGTTCTAAACTACTTTCAACTCTTTTCCCTGGTCCTTGACAAAGTTAAAACAAAAGAACATATGCAACCTAATTCTTGGAATATTGGTTGAATTTTGTGACAATTCTAAAACTGCTTCTCACATCAACACCTGGAGAGGGAAAAAAGATCAGACTGCTGCTAGCCTTTTAATACATTTGTGGAAACAAGAGGAGTTGGAGCTGGGAGTCAAACATGATCAAGATGGAAGAATTGTTGGTAAGGGTTAGCAGACTTTAAACCATCTGTGTGCAGTTTCATTGAATAAAGTAGAAAATAAATTATTCTTCTAACAACTGAGTCCTTCAAATATAAATAAATTATAGTAACTCTCATTCCTATGTCAGTGCTTCTTCATCTGACCAACCTCAAAATGCCTACATATAAAGTTTTAATTTTGTTATACAGATTTGCCACTAGGTGACATTTGCTTCATTACCTGGCAAGAGAACTATCCTTAATATCCTCAACAGTCCATTCCTTTTTAATGATTGACAGTTGAACAGCTTCATTCTGCAGCTATATATCATCTGTGTCCTTAAGGAGAGTTCTATGTCATATTTCAAAGTTTACTTGAAAGTGGTTTTCCTCTAATGCTGAGAGCTTCCTGCAAATAACTTATACAGATATAAAATGTGAAATAGCACGAAAGGGAAAGTTTTATTGCCACAAGAAGTTATCAGTATTAATCAGCATTTCCTGGCCCAAATTCTGCCCTATCTCACACCAAATCAATGGAGCTATTCTAGGTTTGTGTCGGTATACATTAAATGAGATGACTACCCCAGTTTTGGAGGTGACCAAGGATAAATAGTGAAATATACCAGTATATAGTGGTTGGCTAACATGAAGCCACATAACCTATTTTTAAAAAATTATAAAAGTTTAATAACGTGTAACCTGACACTTGTTAACTTTTTGTGTGTATGTGTGTGTTATGAAATTATTAGATGCAAAGAAACCTTTAGTTGGCAGCTTCCAAGAACAACAAGGAGTGATCCCAATGCCTGCCAACTGCCCCAGCATTGCTATCATGGAAGTGTCTGAAAACATGAGGGCAAAAATTTATTCTGTGTTATGCAAGCTAGGTAAGGAGTACACATTGCATCCCAATTTTCAAATTTGTCATTAATCTGAACTTCACCAGCAGCACAATATAGCCATTGCTATACATGCTTGACCTACATTCAGGTTAGATATCAGGAAAAACTTTCTAACCATAAGGGTAGATAAGTTCTGGAATAGGCTTCTAAGGGACATTGTGGAGTCCCCATCATTGGAAGCTCTTAAAAACAAGTTGACAAACACCTGTCAGGGATGTTCTAGCTTTACTTGGTCCTGCCACAGTGCAGGGGGTTGGACTTGATGACTTCTCAAGGTCCCTTCCATCCCTACATATCTATGATTCAGACAACATCTCCATATTGCTTCTGTAGTTCAGAACACCAGATGTGAGAAACAAATAGCATGGAAATGGATTATACAAAATTGGAAAGCTTTTTACAGCATTTAAAACTGTGTGGCATACCTCTCAATGAAGCCATGTCACATACTGGGTTTTTTTTGTCTGATATGGCAGATTCAAAAAATCTATTGCTAAGGCTTTTCCTTTCATGCCATGCTACATGTCACAAAATGCTTTAAAACTGTAAAATGATGTAAAACATACTCTAATAAATACATACTACAGCGTTGGGCTACAAGTATTTTGTGAATGTGAGATTTATAATGAGATTTGGGCAAATATAGTATCTGAACAATTCAAAATTATGTTAATTGTATATTATTATTGAAATTAAACATGCACAAAAGTGAGAATTCAATGTCCTAGTAGCTGTACCTTGCCTCCACCATCTCTGTTTACATTTATTCTTAGTAACATTTTATAAAATACTGGAGTCATTCTGTTTGCAAGGCTGAGTTCAGGAGTTTAGAAGAGGCTCTCAGTACAAATCCCCGAAAGAAAGTACCAAAATCCCTGTAGTATGACTCTCCTCCTGTTGGCTACTTCTCAGCTAAACAGCTCTGCTCCTCCATGATTCATCACTTTACTGGAGCCACAGTATCATGCTTCTCAATAAGGAAGGAGTTAGCTACGTCTATCCCTTATGGCAGGGGTGGCCAACCTGTGGCTCCGGAGCCACATGCAGCTCTTCAAAAGTTAATATGCGGCTCCTTGTGTAGGCACTGACTCCGGGGCTGGAGCTACAGGTGCCAACTTTCCAATGTGCCAGTGGTGCTCCCTGCTCAACCCCTGGCTCTGCCACAAGCCCTGCCCCCACTCCACCCTTTCCCACCCCCTCCCCTGAGCCTGCTATGCCCTCACTCCTCCCCCTTGCCCCCAGAGCTTCCTGCACACCACGAAACAGCTGATCGGCAGGTATGGGGAAGGAGGGGGAGGTGCTGATCAGCAGCGCTGCTGATGGGCGGGGGGGCGGGAGCTGGTTGCTGATGTATTTCTTTGGCAATGTACATTGGTAAATTCTGACTCCTTCTCAGGCTCAGGTTGGCCACCCCTGCCTTATGGAATCTGATTTAGTTTAAATAGAGGAACATTTCCTTGCCATACAAGAATAGCAGAGACATAACACCAGCCATGGCAATACAGGTGATATGAAGGTTGTGTGGACACGCAGAAGTAAAGCATTAAAACAGAATGATTTAGTTATAGGGAAGTGGCTAGCTTATCACCAGAAGCCAGTACAAGTAACTGACAGGATTAGAAGAGAGTTTGGTGAAGATACTATACGCATTTGTGACAACACTTTTGCATTTGATAACGGTTAGTCACACTTTAGTAAGTGCCATGGTGTATTGTCTTATATTTTAAGACAAATACAGGGGGAAGGATAGCTCAGTGGTTTAAGCATTGGCCTGCTAAACCCAGGGTTGTGAGTTCAATCCTTGAGGGGGCCACTTAGGGATCTGGGATAAAAATCTGTCTGGGGATTGGTCCCCCTTTGAGCAGGGGGTTGGACTAGATGACCTCCTGAGGTCCCTTCCAACCCTGATATTCTATTCTATGATGTCATTCATATCTAAATAATAATTAACAATACTTTTTTAGGCTTTGAAAATTTGCCTGGTTTGTCTGCTAAGGATTTTGTCACACTCGCTATCATACGTCGATATCTTGACTTTAAAGTGAGTATTTTTTTACTACTTTACCATCATTTGCACATACACAAAAAATACAATAAAAATAAAAATGTATTACAGCTGAAGAACCCCTTAATAACTGCAATATATACAAGTTATAAATCAGATTTAACACACAACCCTCAAAAGTTTTTTCTGACTTACTCTTCTTGAACACCCGTGCATGCGTGTGTGCACACACACATTATGGCAACTTGTTATGGCCCCCTAATAAGGCAGTTTTGTACCACAAAAGATGGAGTGGCTGCAGATTTACATCCTGGTTCAACTCTCTGAAGACAAGCCCTGTGTAAGCATTCTGGAGAATAAAACTTAAAAAAAGGAGAGCGGGAGAGGATATGTGAATTGTATTTTGTATTTTCAGAAATAAATATAAGCCTTTTTTTAAAATAGTCTGTCTGGTTAACACAAAGGTCGGAGAAGTCTGGAGTGAAATATGTGCAGAACTAAAAGAAGAAACATTCAGACCAGTCACTCCTGATGAAGAAGCCTTGAAAGTTATTTCAGAGGCATCAGAAAATGTTGGAAAGATGGTTGCCACTCTCCAGACTGAAATGCTGGAAAGTCAACAGCACCAGGAACTCCAGGAGGAAGAAAAGGTTTATTCCAAGGTAAGACATGAAGTATTTTATTCAAGAAAAGCCCACTTACTTCAGTATAAATTATTTTGCTGACTATTTATATTAGTAAGATTCTCTTGTTTAACAGAGTTCAAAGTCACACCATATTTGCATTAAGGTATTCTCTTCAGATTTCATTAGCAGTTAAAGTGAAATATTTTTTAAAAACTTAATTTTATTTCTGAAGTATTATAATTTTGTCAATATTTAATTAGCACTATGTAAGAAACAACTGTGCAATGTATCAATGTAGAATCAAAATAGTAATCATACTGCTGTGTTTGTTAGGTCTGTCTCTTGGCTTTTGCAGAAAAGGGAAGGGCAAGGTTATAATAATTGTAAAACAACCATTATAAATAGATCTCTTTCTCATAATGAAACTCTAAGGGCTGTATTTACACTTGCAGGGGTCCAGTTTTCCAAAATTGAGTAGATACATGATTAGTGGTAAATCTGGTTCCAATACAGTTTAATGTAGAGCGGGGTGATAATGGATTTTTTTGATTCACTGGCAGTTTTGGAAACAAGGGAGATGGGGGAGAGAAGTCCTCTTGGGTCAGTGCATTGAAAAGTCCAAATATATTTCACACTAAAATGAATTGAAATGGTTTGACATTACTGAAACAAAAAACTTGTGTTTCAGTAATGTCAAAACAAAACATTTCAGTTCAACCCAAAAAATTTAGTTTAGACTTTCATTCATTTTGGCAAAAGCAAGCAAAGATTTCACAAAATGGCTGGAGGAGGTAAAGATGGAAGTGGTGCTTCCCTTATAAGCTTTAGCCCTGTGGCTAGGGCACTCATTTGAGATATGGGAGACTTGGGTTCAGAGCCTTTCTCCCATCAGGCATAAGCAGGAACTGAACGCAGGTCTCCCACACCCCAGGTGAATGTGCTACTCACTGGGCTAAAGCTTGTAAGAGAGGCACCAGCACTATCCTATCTCTTCCTCTTTTGAGACTCTTTTGCTTGCTTCCGTCAAAAGGCCTAAAAATGAAAATGATTTTTTTCAGATCATAGAGTCATAGAACTGGAAGGGACCTTGAGAGGTCATCTAGTCCAGTCCCCTGCACTCAAGGCAGGACTAAGTATTATCTAGACCATCCCTGATAGGTGTTTGTCTAACCTGCTCTTAAAAATCCCCAATGATGGAGATTCCACAACCTCGCTAAGCAATTTATTCCAGTGCTTAACCACTCTGACGATTAGGAAGTTTTTCCTAATGTCCAACCTAAACCGCCCTTGCTGCAATTTAAGCCCACTGCTTCTTGTCCTATCTTCAGAGGTTAAGAAGAAGAATTTTTCTCCCTCCTCCTTGTAACAACCTTTTATGCACTTCTAAACTGTTATTATGTCCCCTCTGTCTTCTCTTCTCCAGACTAAACAAACCCAATTTTTTCAATCTTCCCTCATAGATCATGTTTTCTAGACCTTTAATGATTTTTGTTGCTCTTCTCTGGACTTTCTCCAATTTGTCCACATCTTTCCTGAAATGTGTTGCCCAGAACTGAACACAATACTCCAGTTGAGGCCTAATCAGCATGGAGTAAAGCAGAAGTCTTGCTTACAATACTCCTACTAATACATCCCAGAATGATGTTTGCTTTTTTTGCAACATCGTTACACTGTTGACTCATATTTAGCTTGTGATCCACTATGACCCCTAGATCCCTTTCTGCAGTATTCCTTCCTAGGCAGTCATTTCCCATTGTGCAACTGATTGTTCCTTCCTAAGTGGAGTACTTTGCATTTGTCCTTATTGAATTTCATCCTATTTACTTCAGCCCATTTCTCCAGTTTGTCCAGATCATTTTGAATTTTAATCCTATCTTCCAAAGCACTTGCAACCCCTCCCAGCTTGGTATCGTCCTCAAACTTTATAAGTGTACTCTCTATGCCATTATCTAAATCATTGATGAAGATATTGAACAGAACCGGACCCAGAACCAATCTCTGCAGGACCCCACTCATTATGCCCTTCCAGCATGACTGTGAACCACTGATAACTACTCTCTGGGAACGATTTTCCAATCAGTTATGCACCCACCTTATAGTAGCTCCATCTAGGTTGATTTCCCTAGTTTGTTTATGAGAAGGTCATGCGAGACAGTATCAAAAGCCTTACTAAAGTCAAGATATACCACATCTACCGCTTCCCCCACTATCCACGAGGCTTGTTACCCTGTCAAAGAAAGCTATCCGGTTGGTTTGACACAATTTGTTCTTGACAAATCCATGCTGACTGTCATTTATCACCTTATTATCTTCTAGGTGTTTGCAAATTGATTGCTTAGTTATTTTCTCCTTTATCTTTCCGGGTACAGAAGTTAAACTGACTGGTCTGTAAATCCCTGGGTGGTCCTTATTTCCCTTTTTATAGATGGGCACTATATTTGCCCTTTTCCAGTCTTCTGGACTGTCTCCCATCTTCCATGACTTTTCAAAGATAATTGCTAATGGCTCAGATATCGCCTCAGTCACCTCCCTGGATATTCTAGGATGCATTTCATCAGGCCCTGGTGATTTGAAGACATCTAACTTGTCTAAGTAATTTGACCTTTCTTTCCCTATTTTAGATCAAAACAAAACATTTAATTTCAACATTTCCAAAATATTTCAGCTTTTTCAGTTCAGTTGAAACCATGCAAATTCACAAATAGTTTCGGTCAACATATAAACTGTTTTTACTGGGAAAAAAATTGGCCCAGTTCTAGTTTAAAGGGCCAGCTCAGATGTGCCAAAATTGTGTTGGAACTTTTCTTAAAGAAAATAATTCTAGCCCATTTAGGTAGGGGACTGTCTGTTTTACATTTCATCCATGAGCTATGGTAATGCAATGTTTAGGTTATAAATTGAAATAAATCCAGAAATTAAAAATTAAGGTAATCACAGTAAAATTAATTCCCCAAAACACCACATATAATGTAAAAGTTTTGATTACTAGATTGTTAAATCTAAATATGTATGTAGCTGTCAACATTCTAAAAAAATTCCAGGGACAGCTCTTCAAAAAAAAATTGGAGGTCTGGAGGCCACTAGAGACCCAGTCCTCTAGAGCGTTTTGTGTCTATTCTGGCGGCTTTTAGAATTTTTGTTTTTAATAGACCTCTACCCTATAACACTGTCCTCAGGAACCAAAAAATCTTACCATGTTATAGGTGAAACCATGTTATATCGAACTCGCTTTGATCCGCTGGAGTGCACAGCCCCTGCCCCACCCGGAGCACTGCTTTACCGCGTTATATTCGAATTCGTGTTATATCAGGTCGTGTTGTATCGGGGTAGAGGTTTATGAATAGCTTAATTCAGGGCCTCAAAAGAGTTGGAACTGGATAAACATCCAAAAGTTAGGCTGCTTATCTGAACCTATGGCGTCCCTAAGATCTGCCATCCCCATGTAAGAACCTTCCCCAAAAGGCTTTCTCTATTTGCCATTGTTTTCTTCAAGAGAAGCAGTGCCCTGATACCCATCTGGTATGTTCAAGAAGAGGACAGCAGACATCCACCTGATTCCCTCACCATCAACACCTCCACAATCTCCATTTCTCTCTTCCTCTCTATTCCTGAGGTAGGGCAGATCTCTTCTCTTTTCTTCCTGCCATCTGGGATCGTGGCCCTGTTTTCTTCCTTTCCACTAGGAGGACATACAGCATCTTTTTTTCCCCCTCTCAAGAAGGTCTTCCTATTCGTCTCCTAATTGTAATTCCCCCTCCCTTTCATATCTGTTTCCTCCCACCACAACTGATTGCATCTCTGTTCCCTCTTCCATGCAGCTTTAAAGTAGATAGGATTTGTCAAGGCTCCTTCCCCACTCTGAACTTTAGGGTACAGATGTGGGGGCCTGCATGAAAACTTCTAAGCTTAACTACCAACTTAGATCTGGTCCGCTGCCACCACTCCCAATGAGCTAACTCCCTTCCCTGGGTAGCCTTGAGAGACTCTTCCACCAACTCCCTGGTGAACACAGATCCAACCCCTTGGATCTTAAAACAAGGAGAAATTAACCATCCCCCCCTCCTTTCTCCCACCAACTCCTGGTGGATTCCAATCCAATCCCCTTGGATCTAAAAACAAGGAAAAATCAATCGGGTTATTAAAAAAGGCTTTTAATTAAAGAAAAAGGTCAAAATCATCTCTGTAAAATCAGGATGAAAAATAACTTTACAGGGTAATCAAACTTAAAGAACCCAGAGGAACCCCCTCTAGCCTTAGGTTCAAAGTTACAGCAAACGGAGGTAAACGCTATAGCAAAAAGTACATTTACAAGTTAAGAAAACAAAGATAAAACTCGCACGTCTTGCCTTGTTGTACTTACAAGTTTGAAATATGAGAGACTTGTTCAGAAAGATTTGGAGAGCATGGATTGATGTCTGGTCCCCCTTAGTCCCAAGAGCGAACTCCCCACAAAACAAAGAGCACAAACAAAAGCCTTCCCCCCCGCCCACCAAGATTTGAAAGTATATTGTCCCCTTATTGGTCCTTTGGGTCAGGTGTCAGCCAGGTTATCTGAGCTTCTTAACCCTTTACAGGTAAAAGGATTTTGGAGTCTCTGGCCAGGAGGGATTTTATAGTATTGTACACAGGAGAGCTGTTACCCTTCCCTTTATAGTTACGACAGGATTGAATGAAGGATTTCTCCTTTCTCAATCACAGAGTTGTCAGTTCTGCTTTCTGTGGCCCCTTCATCATCTTGAGGGGCAGTGAAGAGCTGGTTTGCCTGGTGATGTGGTGGTGATGTGCCTGGTCTTTATTTGGGAGTGAGAAAAGCACAACATTCTCTAGCAGTCTCCTCTAGTCAATACTAGAGAAGCACTGATCCCGCTCATCCTTCCAGGCAAAGGAAAAGTGCTACATTAAGAATAGCCAGAGGGGAGGCCACAAAATCAGGGTAAATAGGTGGAAGCACTGTCCAAGTATCAGGAGCAAGGAATTCAATACAGTTAATGGAAATACAGTGTGTATTACATCTCCTCAAATCTCTTGTCACATTGTAGATTCAAGCTATCCATAAGCAGAGAGAAATGGTAAATAAATCCTGGGAAAATTTCTTAACTCGAACGTCAAATTATGAGGCTTTAAAGGTAAGAATTTGGGGGGGGGGAGGTTATATTGGCAATGTTGTTATATCATTGAACAATTCCAAGCAGTTTTATTCAGTATTGAATACCAGGATATTACTATAGAAATTACAGCTGGACTCAAATCTGATTTAGTAATGCTCTAAAAGTAAGTAAGGCTCAGTGGTTAGTACACTTCCCTAGTACTTGAGAGACCAGGTTTGGTTCTCTGCTCCATTACAGATTTATTGTGTGACCATGGGCAAGTCATTTATTCTGTCTGTACCTGAATTCCCCGCGTGTTAAATGGGGATAATAATACATCCCTGGGGTGTAGTGAAGATGAATACATTAAAGATTGTGAAGAAGTTTTTGAGATCTACTAATAAGTATATAATAGCTAGGGTGTATTATTTTTATTCATAAAACATAAAAGAAATGCTGTTCTTTACTGAAGACAAAGGCTTCTTGTCAGAGCCATGCAGTCACTAGTAACCCGACTGCTCCTCGATTTCCAGTCACAAAGTGGGGATGAGCACTCTCTCTGCAAGTACGATCATGCTCATGCGCAAAAGCAGATACCAAAAAGAGAGGCTAAAACTGAAAATTTGGCCATCGTGTTTTTTTGATAATCCCTCCCTTGGTTTTTCCCACAGCAAGTATCTGAAGATAACCTGAGGCTTGCTAATCTGTTCTGATACCAAGATCACCTTTATTGTGTACAGTATTTGCATTTACATTTCAAAAAGGACATCCAGGGTAGAATCCAAAGTAGGACAACCAGACTAATTTGGCGACTGAAGGAAATTCTTGACAATGAAATATGTCTATAGCCAAATCTGTTCATTCTTGAAAAGAGACACCCGAGGAAAAAACTGGTCTTGGTATAAGTGTACCAAGTACAGGAATATAGCAGAGATCTAGGCTGTGATCTTCTCGGTCTGTGTGGCAAGGTGTAATCTGCAGTCATGAATTGAAACTAAGTGAAGAATAAAAGTTGACTATAAAGAGAGTTTTGTTTTGTTTTTTTTAAACCTCCAGGCTCATTAGCTAGTGTGGGGGTTCCCAAACTTGGTTCGCAGCTTGTGCAGGGTAAGCCCCTGGCAGGCCATGAGACGCTTTGTTTACCTGCGGACACTCAAGTAAACAAAGCGTCTTGCGGCCCGCCAGGGGCGAACAAGCCGCAAACCAAGTTTGGGAACCCCTGAGCAATATCGTTCTGTTCAGTCAGATATTGGCTCTGCAGCAAGCCAGCCTATTCTGGGGAATGTCAGCCCACCATGCAAATCCAAAACACAAAAGAAAAACTTGCATGTTGGGAAGGTATTGATCAGCCTGGGACACCACAGCTCTCATGAGATTCCTGCTTCTTCTGCCCCTCAACTACTAATTCTAGGTCTGTCATTTCCCTTCTGACCCTTTTCTCAGCCTCTATTAATGCTTAACTTTTACAACACCCTATCTCTGCGGTAGTCTGTAGTGGGAAGAAGAGGGGGAGGGTGACCAGACATCCCGATTTTATCGGGACTGTCCTGATATTTTCTTTTTTTGTCCCGCGTCCCGACCGATGTTTGGTCAGGACACTGGACAAAAAAGCAATTTTGCCCTCCGCTCCGGCGCTCACGTGCCCCCCACCCCGACTCCGCCCTCTCCTTCCCCCATTGGATCCCTCCATGGAGGGAGGAGGGATGTGTGGAGGGGGGGTGGAGGGAGATGGGTCGGGCATCTACCAGGAGCACAGGAGGGCAAGGGAAAGTTGCCACGGCTGCCGGGGGCTAGCTGGGCATGGCCCAGGCTGCGTGCAGGCAGCAGCCGGGGCTGGCTCTGGCCCGGGTGGGCGGCGCAGACTGGGGGCGTGGGCCGCCGGAGACACACGGCGGAGAAGGGCTGCGGGGGTGAGACTTGTCCCAGGCAGGGCGGCCGGCAGACAGGGGCGAGGAGCCGGCCGGGGTCCCCTGAACCCATAAACTTCCCCGCCGCTGCCGGGGAGCTCCGCACCTCTCCCGCTTGGCTGCACTCCAGCGGCTCGCCCCGCTGGGAAGGAGCCGCTGGTGCGCAGCCGAGCAGGAGAGGCGCGGGGCTCCCTGCTGGTAGCGGGACGTGCCGCATGTGCCCAGGGCGGGCTGGGGGGCAGGAGGCTCTGCGGGGCCAGGAAAAGCCCCGGCTCCCGCCCGCTGCCCCGCCTGGAGCCCCGGGGAGCCCCTCGGGAGACCAGCTGCCGCTGCAGCTCGGCTGTGCCAGCCCCGGCCCCCTGCACGCCCGCGCCATGCCGCCCCTAGGGTTCCCAGCTCCCATGCACCGCCGCTGCCCCGCGGCCAGCCCCGGGCTCAGGGGCTCCTGCAGCCGCTTCCAGGGGAGAGACAGCTTTGTCCCTGCCCAGTCCTGCTACGGGGCTCTGCCTCCTTGTGCCCATCCAGCCTGTGCCCTGCCTGGGGCCCTGCTGGAGCCGTACACCCTCGCCCACCCGGACTTCTTTGCTTCCCAGTGCTTCCTCTCAGTCCCCCCCGATGCCCTCTTTATCCCCAGCCCCCTCTGCATCGGGGCCACCTTTTGCCCTGGGGTGGGCAGCACGCGCGGCCGGGGCGCTGTGTACGATCCGGCGGTGCGGCTGGGGCCTGCTAATGCCCCCCGCCCCTGCGAAACTGCTTGCTTTTTTTTTTTTGCTCTGCCGCCATTTTTTTTTGCTCTGCCTCCCGCCCCCTTCCCCAGCGTCCCAATATTTCATCCCTGTGATCTGGTCACCCTGGAGGGGGGGGAAGCTTGGCTGCCGCAGAACCAAGCTTCTGCCTCCTGCCCCCGCAGGGGAGAGCGGTGGGCGGTGGGGCTGGGGGCCGGGACCGCGGCAGGGAGCTGCGTGCCACTCAGAATCGGCTCGCGTGCTGTGTTTGGCACGTGTGCCGTAGGTTGCCGATCCCTGGGCTACACTTACTCTGTTCTGTCTTTTTTTTTTTTATCTCCTGGCTGAAATACCTAATTGTTTTGTTTTCCAACAGATTTTGAGGAATCAGCTCATATTACAGTCTTTACATTCTCATTATTCATTCTTTCGTTAAAAGTAAATAGAAATTACCCTTCATGTTTTATTTTATAATATTAATTACATGTTTTCTGTCTGGTTGCATGTGGTGCGGTGCTGAGTCTCATAAAAATAACTCTTACTTTGCTAAATATCTTTAGAAAGCAAAAAGACTTCAGGAAAAATCAATAGATGCTTCTAGATCAAAGTCAAGACCACAGAATGCAACGCTCCACACAACTGAAATTAAAGGCCTGAATACGACAGTAAGTAAAGTTTCCAGGCATTCAGCTTAACTCACAATAATAAGCTAATAGAAATAAAATAGTGTAGTTTAGGCTCAAGAGTTAGTTAGTTAGTTTTTGTTTGTTTGTTTTTTAATGTTAGGCTCCCTTTCCGTTCCAGAAATGAGTTGATCTCAGTCTATTCTATCTTTTGTCCAATCCTCTCTTTTCCCAAGTTGCTTTAAGAAATGTCCTTGATGACCAAACCCAAGCATGTGAGGTTAAAGTACTGTGCCTTTTTTAGCAGAAAGATGTCTATTATGAATGCACATGTTTTGATGCCTTTGATGCTTCAGAAAAGGGTTTTTATCACAAAGGCCTTTTCCAGCAGTGTGGCTTTTACTCCTTGAGCCTGCAAAGATCATGAAAGAGTCCTGAAAGCATTCTTGATGGAAGTTAGTCTTGTCTTTTAGGTAGATGTCTGCACAGAGCCCCACCCAACATAGTTAGTAAGCACCACTTCTACCACTGTAACACATCCTCAGGCATCAGGGAATTGAAATTAGTCAGAGAAGGTCTCTGTGATCTGAAGCTATTGTAAAGAAATTCAGGCATGTAGGCTCTACCATTTATGGGTCAATCAGGGTCCAGACACCCCAAGGGGAGAATAGGGGTTTTGAACTCCTAAGAATAAGCACTTGAATCAACTGATGGTATACCATGTTATTGTGCATAAAAATATACCAAGTAAAATCTTTTATGAATGCTTGCAATGTTCTGAACTCGATGGTCATTGAGATGTGTATAAAAACTGTGGTTACGAATCTTTGTATTGATGTGTATATACAATAGTATGTTCATGTCCAGTACTACAATTTCAAGTACACATTATAGCAAGGAGGAGGGGATGGCAGCTCCTGCCAAGCCGGTTATTTTACACAAAACTAACTTCAAGTACCCATCCATTGCCCAGTTAGAAAAAAATCATTAGGAAATGGGAAAACACTGAAACAACTTGAAACGGAAAAGAAAACCCTAGACTTGGAAAACTAAGGACTTCTACGTGTATTGCTGACAGACCCCGGTCATCGGCGAGCAGGATAGAACCGGGGACATTTGGAGCTTAGTGCATGAGCCTCTACCGCATGAGCTAAAAGCCAACTGGCTGGTAGCTAAGGCTGTAGAGCAGACTCATTTTCTCTCTCTCTTAAGTGGTCTCAGTGCCACTAGATGGGACAGAACACCACACCCA